GATGAAAAGAAAAAAGGGATAATATTTTTAAGTTATTCATCATTGCTAGTTCCATTAGTTAAACTGTGTGGGACGTTTAATCACTAAACAACTTTGATGACTACGAAAATGATTCAAACCACTAACAAACACTTGTCACTTACAGTGCACTTACAGTGATTCTGCTTGTATAATTAATAATTATTTGATTTCAATCGCAGAGAGGTTTATATAGTTGACTCCTAATCCAGTTGCCCAGATTCGATTCCCAGGCGAGGAAGCTATCGAAGTATGTTACATCAGATCAGGATTAGACGAGTTCTGGTAAGAAGTCCAACGATACTAGATTGAAATCCAGCCACCCTCGCCCCCTGAAAACTAGCTAGTTCTGTGATTATAAATATTTTTGATGATTGATATTCAAACAGGCCGTAAATTACAACAAGTAGTTGCGTATTTTGTTGATGGAACGTTCCTATGCAGTCCATCGCCCATGTTTTAAATGATAAACTGAGCAGCGCACAGTTTGTATGCCTGTCACCCATACACGACCCTGGTAGGCGTCGAACTCACAACGGTGAGGGGCAAGTGATTCTCGGTCGGAGACTTTAACCATTTTTTCTTTCCACACAAATAGGCATCGGTAGTGGTAATCCCTGAAGCTTGGATCAATTCCATCTAACTGCGGTCAAAAAAAAAACGTGCAGTATGGACGCATGCACGGACGGGTGCCATCACTCCTCCGATGTCTATGGATGAAGATAATTATGTTGTGTAAGTGTACCTTAGATAGGTTAGGTCAAGGTTTGGATTGGGGGGTCCTTATTCTATAGGGGGTCACATTTCTACGTGAGGGGTCATTTTTCTACGTGTGAGGAGTCATAATATAATGACCCCCCAGTCATAATATAATGACCGCGGAGTCAATACTTTATATAAAATAATGACCGGGGGGTCATTATTTTATATAAAATAATGACCGGGGGGTCATTATTCTATGGGGGTCACTTTACAACGTTACACCGGACGCCGGATTGTCCCCTTTTGATACTAAAAGCTCACCCTGAACCTTCGGTTCTGGTGAGCTAAAAATCAAATCATACTTTCATTTGTTCAAATTTGATGAACAATAACGTGGTGTTATCACATTCAATTTTCTTTTCATCCAAATGTTTTAGCAGCTTTTGTCGTGCGACATTACCGTAAACAGCTAAATCCTCGAATACCTCTTTTCCAATACAAAGATTTGTCTTTCCCGATTTTATTATATATAAGGTTTCATTTTCCTTTGTTTTTGTTTGGTGGGCTTTACAGAAGCCTTCGTATGTAATGGATAATACTCCTTCTTTGCTTACATGACATTCGTTAGAAATAAGGTCTATAACAAAATCCATAAACATGTCATAATCATTTTGGCGAATTGGCATGGAATCTGAAAGCAGATTATGTCTGGCATTTTCAATAATATACTTTTCATATGCAATCCGTTTATTTTGCTGAGTAGTTGATTGATCTTCCTTTCGTTTTCTTATTTGCTCGGTAATACTTGTATCATAAGTATTGTTTTTAGTTGCAATACTTGCTTTGTTTAATTGTACTAAAGTTTCCTCCCGATTGGATATTTCGTTTGAAGTATACCTAGAACAGTACGGGCAATGAGCCAATTCGTAACTACGAGTTTCACTTGAACTGACAAGGATTCCTCTTGCGCAATTAGAGTTGCCTTGTACTTCATCATCATGTAAGGTCATAACCTGTTGAGAATGTGCAAAGTTGCTGCCAATTGTTCGGTCTAATTTGTAAGGGACTATAGGGAAACACATTGGCGTTGCCTCTTTCATTGGGGGGTTCCTTAAGGAAAAAAATAAAAAAAATGCACATTATAAACTTAGAGATTTTTTCCTTATCATTTATAAAATCCGACCGGTTTAAAGAAATCAAAAATTAATTCTCATAGTAATTGACATCATCGAAAAAAATATTCAGTAAATTTCAAAAGAACAAAAAATCACGAAATTTATCATATAAAACTGTTTTGTGATTCCGTAAAAACGTAAAGGCATAGTCATGTTTATTTTATGCATGTTGTCATATGCCTTCAACAAACATAGCGTCTATCACTTAAGTTAAGTGTAACAACATAAGTGCGTCAATGAAAAGTTTGACAAAAATTAATTCGTATTTACGAAATATTAATTCGTTTTTACGAAATATTAATTCCTTACAAAATATCAATTTATAATAACGAAATACTTATTTCCATCCAAGTTTCCATCTATTCATATAAATGTCTTAAATAGTTATCAGGTTATGTTCTGGACCAAAATTAAATAAAGGGATATAATACAAAAAACGGACTAAATAGCGTTATGGTTCTTAGACAATGCACTACTCCTAGCTAGCTGCCATCTATTCATATTTCAATTTTCAAGTCAATAATTTAATGTATTATAATGTTTAAAGTACACTGTGACCTTGACATTCAACCTACTGATCACAATATCTGAAGAGGCTTTCTAGTAACCATGAACAATCACGATATCTACATGCAGTAATGAGGACAGCAAGCAAGATCATATACTTAAGTATTTGGCCGAACATAGAGTTTAAAAAAAATGAAAATCATTGTGAGCTTGACATTTGATGTGTTCAAAGGTTGTCCCGGGGAAAAGTAAAGAAAATGTCATCTTAAGGGCTCCGTAGATTCTTATTGATAATAGATCATCATATTGAACCTACTGAATTTTGATTCGCTTGGTATGATAGAATAAACACCACATCCCACAATGTTCACCCTTGACAATATATTGTCAACCGAGGCGTTGTTTAGGTTGAGCACTTCCCTCAGATGGATGTCATAATCATATATTATCCTAGGCAGAAACACCCATATTTAATATAATTCAACTCATTGAATAAATTAAGAATAAAACATACACTCGATCCTTATTTCATATAAATGGTATATCTAACAAGTTTTTTCGGAATCTATTTTGTATTTTTTTTTTACATTCGGTGATATCTATTAAACAAAAAAATCAAACCTTTCGATATTTTCAACCATTTTTATATCCTCTTTTGCATCAAAGGCGCTTGTAACAGCATTTTTGATGTGTTCAAAGGTTGCCCTTGTGTTTCCTAGATTGTTAAGCCATTTATTGAATACTTTTAAATACGCATGAATGACCCAACCCGCTGTATGCTGATTCCTTGCTTCTAACTCAATTTCATCAACTGTATCATGAACGCTTCTAGCCATCTTCTTGCAATTACCTACAGTAAAATGTAATACATTTAACAGCATTATTTATTGAACATTATAAAATAAGATAATACTACATGAAATAGTCAAAGAAATTTCTGTAATTTTCGTTTCTTAAGACAACACAAATTTTTTGACAATCGCCAACAAAACAATTTTAACGGTATGACGAGAAAATCTCTATTTTATAGCTGCATACAAATGCTGTTATATAAATTACTTTAGCGTGTAACTAAGTCGAGGCGAATTTTTAAAGAAACTTAAGTTATTCGGGCTTACTGAGTAATTCATATGCAAATAATTTCCAGCATGTTGCAGAAAACGATTTTGATAACTTTAAGAAAACTTTTGTCCAGTCTATTTGAACTTCAGGGGTATCTGAAAATAAAAACAAAAATTGATACAATACAAAATATTTTCGGAAAATTAAAGAATAAGCCTTGATAGATTTTTCTTTTGTTCAGATGTTTTCTTCATGCAACGGACTTACCTCCAATAATTTTCTTATTTTAAAACACGAATAAACATATAGTGCAAATGTGTTTTATTATCACAAATACACCCTATTTTCAGAAGTTAATATTCATTTAAGACCATTGCGACGGTATTTAATGTCAGCAACAAATATTTGTTACTAATTATAACTTCTTAAACAGTTCTCAATCATTATCATATAAAACAAGAGCTTGTTTGAAACAGACAAAGTCCCCTGTATCCTAACATTCTCGGTGGTGGTGGTTTTTGTAGTTTAAAATCCGGATCCCGAAAAAGAAGTCTTTTTGAATTCACCGGAGCATAGTTCAGCCATTGCATAGTTCCTGCACAGACTGTAAAGCAGTTTACCAATAGCAGATGCCTTCACTTTCGTAAGAGAATGTTATTACTTTTGTACATGCCAGAACAGAAGTACAGTGCAGATGACCGTAGGAAGAATTATGTAATCAATCACAATGAAAATGACCTGCACAGTCCGGATTCGAACCAGGGACGCCTGATTTATAGTTAAACATTCTTCCAAATCTCATTATGCATAACTTCAATGTTATTATGAAAAAAATGTCATTGGCCTTTTTAGCTGTCTACCTGATTTTGTGCGAGGCAAGCCGTCTTAATGGGCTACAAATGCACGTCTATCTGTCTATTCCTTTCAAATCGATTCATGAATGGCAGACATAATGACCTGACACGGCAATTAATGTTCCTTTAAATGTAAGTGTGATATTCACCTTAAAGCTTCAAACTTGTCTCACTCATTACACACTGATGAAAAGCACCACATATCTAAGCACAGTTGTTAGCAGATCATTGTTATGCGCTTTTATGAACTATTTCCTTTCAATTAAAGTAAAACCGTGACGTTTAACCTTCAAAATTAAGTTTGCGTTGTAAACTTAACTCTGTCAAACATTTGTCCATCATTATTTTAAAATTTATATTCTTGTGACAAAGACAGGGACCGGACACAGCCATCTTTACACAATTATATCGTAACTATGGAATTACAAACGTGATATTGATAGCTGGGGACCTGATAAATGTGTATAACACGACGTCATTATGTTCCAAATGTTTATACCAAAGTGTTTATAATCCATTCAGAAATGAAACAGACATCTGTGTCTTTCAAGCGACAAATTGTACATGTATGTGCAACTGCAACACAACCTTATTTTTCAAAACTCCATTCATTATTGACAAAGCCGGAGGACCAGAAAAAAGCTGTCAGATGGACGGCCTTTTCAAAAACTATATGTCATAAAATTCTTATTCTCAGTAATATACATGTATGAATCATAGATACGACAAGGCTATTGTAGCTTTGGCATATCATTTCCATCATTACATTTAAACATTTTTCAATCAAACATTTTTGAATAAGTTCAGTCACTCGAACTTTTCAGCAGCACACAATAATAAGAACTGTTTATTCACCCTTATTGAGATCCTTGAGAGATAATGATTGGTCTTCTGCTCCGGGACATAACTGGTTTTCTTGGCTTTTGTTTTCTGAGCCCTCTGCAATATCCAAATTGAAAACAAACATCCAAATCCTATCAGTGTTTTTTATGCTTGTTGTTATGATAAAAACAATACGAAATGTCACGTACTATTAACGCAATGTTATTTCCGACAAGTGACTTCTTAAGTAATAAAAAGTTTGAATATTGCAAATTATATAAATATCAAAATTATGAACAATTAAGCGTTCTTAAAATTTGTTCTTGTCAATTGACATTAAATTTTGTTAATTTTGTCTTGGGTATTTTATCACCGTTTGTAACATAATGCAGAACACATAATTACCAGCTATACTTTAGAAATATATTTCATTCTTTACCTTGTACATTGTAAGAGTCTCCAGCTACCTGAATCCTTTCCCATGTTCTAAGTTGTAATCCATCATCTGTATGTTCAACCTCTTTGCAATCTTAAAATACAACATAAATCATATCATTAAGATGAAACTAACTGAATTGTTTTACACACTGTAATGCCAAAATGAATTCCTTATATAGTTTTTAAAACAGTTTTGCGTTAAATGATTTTGCAGTGCGACAAATCTTTGTCTTGTAAAGGAGGAGACCGTTGAAATGGCATAAAATAGTACAAATTTAGACTTTGACATACCATTACTCTTTGTTCCATCATATGGATATACCAAAGCTATTTGTCTTTCAGTTTCGTTGGATTTCGGTGATTTTGTTTTATGGCAATCATCTACATCATATTCAGAATTATCTGAAAAAATGTATATATAGGTAATTAGTTGTTTATGTTATATTTGCCGTTGGGTTTTATGTCGCAACATCAATTAAGGTCATACAGCGACTGTCCAGCTTGACTGGTGTTGTAAGACCTACCTCAGGTGCCCGCCCTTGCATCATTTTAGGCACGAACGTGCACATAAGTAGAACCATTGACTCTCTGTAAGCTAGCTGGATAGCTTCCCTACATGAAATAATCCAAAGTCCCAGGCGGGATTCGAACCACCAGCGGTTAGGGGCAAGTGGTGTGAAGCCAAAGATCTTAACCACTCTGCCAACGACGCCCAATAAACGTAAAAAGCTGCCCCGTACTTCACTTCAGTGTTGTTATATTTTTCTGGTCCTTCGGGGTCATTGATACCGGCATTATTAAGTGTTGAGAATTGAGTACCGCTCAAGCCGGTGCTAGGGGGCGTGAGGGATGTTGCACATATTCATTATCCCTCATGTACAGACTCAACCAAACCGAGTCTGTAATTCTCTTGTAATTTTGTTGTGTTTAATGCTTCCGAGGGATCACTTTGTTTTTTTTATTTATTTTATTTTTTTGTGATTTTTATGATGATAAAACATGCATTAAATTCATATTTGCATAATGCTCCAATCATTTCGAGAATTTTTCTATGAAATACATTTGATTTAACTCAGGGAAATTAACAAATAAAATCGTTTTCTAACTATTCTGGCAGAGACTTTGTGGTGTTGTTTCTTTGGAAACATAAACTTCATCTTCACTGTTTTCAACTAAAAAGAAAGAAGAAAAGAAACAAAAACCGTCAACCTGACATAAATCTAAATAATATGCGTTTCTTAACTTGAATTGTTATGAAATATTTACTCGCGTAAGCATTGCTTTCTGTATATTCCTTACATTTAAAGCTTAGTGTTAAAATTGATAAAATAATATAACATGTGAAACGTTTAAGGAAAGGGAAAATGCAAAGCTATAACCGATGCCCTGAATAAAATACTTTTGTCAAAACAAACTGTCTTTAAATTAAATATGCTCAAATTTAGACGAAAACTCCTGTTAAGTGTTTTTAAAGATAAGAAATTTAATACATTGAGTGTCATTTATGTTTACCTAAAAGTTACACACTCACTTGGATCAATCATGATCATTGTGGGTAATTTTTGTGACATTTCTTTGTTGTCAACGCTGTAAAGTTGATATATAAATATTCCTTAACTATATATAGAAAATAAACATTCATTTCTGAAAACATTGTCTGTGATCTAGTATTTTAAGCATTGACAAGTCTTCCCTTTAGGAAACCTGATTTTTATCACAGACTTAGATATTGAAAACACAATGCAGGCATTAAAAACAAATGCTTACACTAACTACGGAAAGTAACGGAAAACCACCCAAAAATTAATTAGTTTTTGGTCAATATTGCCAAATAATACATGACAGCCAATAAGTATAGGCAACAGCCAATGAATACAAATATAACACAAACTGATTCCGTCTCGTTACTTACATGATTCTAATGGTTTTAAGGTTATTTTGCTTCTAAAACCCTTTTTATCAATAAATGAATCATTATCACCGATGTATGACATACCATAATCATCTCTGAAAGTAATCGATTTTGTCAATTTACGTTTCATTGACCTTTTTGAAAAATAGAATTATGTGATAAATATATGCTGTGAATTTATCTATCCGTCTTGATATATTATCGTTATTATTATTTTTATGATGATTATTATTATTTAAAAAAAACAAGTACTACAACAATGTCACCTACTACTTTTACTTATGAAAATGTACTTACAATTAAGAATTGATTAGATATAGAATAATTATTCTTAATTACACTACTGCAGTATAGAATATGCTAGAAGATAATTTCCTTTATTAATTTCTAATTAACTCTAAATGAATAATTATATGATGTTAATAATGAACATGATTACACACATACACGCCATCTCATATATTTATTCCCTTAATGAATAATTTACAAATTTACTTCAATGTGTAATATGATAACCTTTTGCGCAGTACGAATTTCATCGTTATCAACACAGGAAATACATATTGTAGTTAAAATTCCTATATATACATGCTTACAAGTATGATTAGGGCTGTTAAACAGAAAATTTATTTATTATTTATTTATTTATTTATTTATTTATTTATTAAATTTATGTCCTAGAAATAACCTGGAATAGCAAACATAAATAAATCTATCGATCAATCAATCAATCAATCAATCAATCAATTAATTTAAGGGCCAGTAAAACGGACTCGGCGATACCAATGCTCCGCTTGAAATGCTTCTGTTATCAATAATTAGATCAAGCAAAGTTTAAATTATTCTTTTTCACAGTTTTTACTTTGTTACACCCGAAACTGAAGCATAGGACTTTAAACTCTTATTGTTAATGTGTTAATCTGCCCCTGCTGGCAGCATTTGCTCTCCATTCGAAAATGTTTCGACGTTCGTAACATTCTCTTGTTTGAAATTGGGCAAGCGCAAACATAATTGCAATCGCAAACAGTTCAAAACATAAACAACAAGAAAGTCTGAAGGCCCACTAAATCCACTCTGCAGCGGATAAGAGTTTGTACTTTTTGATCATTAACCAACCATGACCGTGCATATCATAAGCACATTATCTCATTACAAAAGTCAGTTTCAGTTTTCCAATTACCTTCCATATTAAGAAGGTAGATACCTTCGTAAATACGTATTAAGAAGGTAGATACATTCATGGATACTCCTTTATTGTTTGAATGTTTACGTCATGGTCTAGGTAACTATAAGATATAGAGAAGACATGAACAACAGATGTTTTAACATTGGACCTTTGTGTGTGACTTTGACCTTGAGAGTAGTGACTTGATTGTTGTACTCTCCACATCGTCTCATAATGGTGATCATTTGTGCCAAGTTAATTTTTTAAATGCAGCGGGAAGGGGTTAAAGAAGATCTGCATGTTTAACCTTGAAACATCAAAACATTTATAAAATAGCAGACAGAATGTTGAAAACGTATTCAAAGGACGATGGAGCCCAGAGAAGACCCTACCGTTTAATTGAATACCTCTCCGAAATGTTCGAAGAATCTTGCTGGAAGTGTCCGTTGTCCAAAATGCCCTCCATTGGTTTAACTTCCTTTTGCAGACCACTTAAGTCATTTAATGAGGTCTGACTGTAGATCTATACAATAAGAAAAAATGACCGGTTAGTATTGTAATTCTAATTATTTCGTTGAATTAACAACATTCACAATCTAAAGCAAATTAGACGGATCACTCTTCTAATCTAACTCAATTTAATTTGGTAACAAAAGGAGAGGGGAGAAAGTTGTGATATAATTATGTAAATTAGGCATGTTATAAAGGAGCACAGGACAAAAGCGATCTCAGACAAAAGCCCTCCCATCCATAAAAGACAGGGCGGACAAAAGCGCTGTGGCGGCATTGAAAGGGCCGACAAAAGTCCTCCCATGAAAATTTCAGGGCAGAATAAAGCCCTCATATTCGAGATTCGAGATTCATTTAATGTAATATATGATAATATATATGTAATGCAATGCTAATGTTGTTCAAACTAAAATAGTGAAAACAGAACGCATAAAGAAAGTCTAACACGCCAAAGTTGAAAATGTTGCAGGCTCGGTTTGATGGAGCCTGTTCATGGACGGTAATGGAAAGTGGTGCAAGTTATCGTATACGCCCCCTAGCACCGGCTTAAGCAGAATTCATTTTTTTACACGAAAATGGTGACATTTTGAATTTAGAACCATCCGCAAATGTGTTCATACGGCGGTTATCATGGAACCTTCAATGTGACACAGTAGTGCCATTCCATGAAAAGCGGCGTATGGTCCCCAAGTAAAGGAATGCTTGTGCCCTAAACAGAAAACAATGGGCGGAACTAAATAAAATGGAATTTTGAAAGGGGTTCTGAGGTTATAAAGCCTGCATATCACAGATAAGACGTCAAAAGACAAATTTAAAAAGCAGGCAACATATCCTAAGGGTGATAATACAGTATTCAAGTAGGAATGCTGGTACCACCCAGTTGAAAAATGGCCAAAAAGAAGAAACTTAAAGTACCACATAGCATGTGTTCAAAACAATAATGTCGCGCTGAACGATCTTCAAGTATCGAAAATATAACATCATTGATTAAATGTACGGGGAGACTTTCCACAGCCGCCATTCGGCACATATTACACGGATGTGACAATAAAATAGCCCCGCTTTGAATAATCTAACTGCAAATGTTAAATATTAAGACATATGCGGCATCATTGCAATCGGGCATTTGTGTATTCATGAACTTCTAACCAGTATAAAATAAAAAGATAAAATCAAAATAATTTTCATAAGAGGGCTTTTGTCAGCCCAATTATTTTGAGGACGGTTGGACTTTGTCCGATAGGGCTTTTTGTCTGCCTTCCGCTATTAAGCATTAACTCTAGGAAACATGATAGTAATCGCGCGAGAACGAACGTGATATTAGGTCATATAAATCTAACTCCCTCACTCGTGTTACAAGACGATTTCTTTTTTATTGCGCTACTCGTTTGTCAAACTCAATACTTTTTACAGATTTGCACTGTTCTTTTTTATTTTCAAGTTTCGAAGATTAAGTAACTAGCTGTTACTACATAGAAGTCCGCGCCTCGTGTTCAATTCTCGTGTGAACGAGTTTTCCGACGGGATAATGATAAGAAGCGCAAAAAAGATCATTATAATAATAAAGAGATGAGCATATTACATCTGTTCACGTTTTTTTGTGAAACAAATTATTCCTAAAATCAATGAACTTTTGTATATACATGAAATAATACTGTGAAAATCTTTGTTCGTATAATCGGACGTGCGACTTAAATGCAATCACAGGGCAACCTAGGATGCGAATGAAACTATATGGACGCCATAGAGTCCAGTTTGGAAACAATCCATAAGGGATCTTGAAATGCATCGTACAAAGGCAAAAGGTCGGCCTTCTAAGAACGTCCTGTACTAGATCGCATCACCGAGTTCTTTTGATAACTTGTCAGAACTTCTTTCGATAACTCTCGCGGAGATCGTCGGTACACTTTTGTATATACCGAAGAAAAACTCGTCAAAAATGGTTATTTTCATCTTTAAAAAAAGAGAGTCTGAAATGCTTAATTAAACTTTAGCGATTAGGCTTGCTTTACATATTGTAGATGTGTCAGAAAAAAATATAGTCAAATTTTCATCGACTCTTCGTTAAAATCTGGTAGTTTTGAGTAAACTTTCCAAATTATCTGTTCATGTGTACATATTGATCTGTTCTTTTGTGATCTTCCTTACCATACTTAATTACATAATTTAATGCAAAGTTGCAAACATAAAGCGCTCTGTCCGATTTTCTGAATGTCCTAGAGTTCTTCTGATAACTCTGAAGGTGTTCTAGCGTTCTTCTGATAACTATTCTTACGGCACTATTTTTATTATTCAATAAGGGTGTAAATAATTAAAAAACGTAGTACGCTAACCCTTTGCAAAATATTGGTAATATAATGTTGGTTTTGTTGAAGTAGTATACAGAATGCTAAGGATAAACAGCTGATAGTCTATTTAAAGTGAAACCTAAATCAGTGGTCACCTGTATTTGGCAGTATCATGGCTTAAACGGCCTAACAAAATGTTTTAAAACTTACACTTTGTTCTCAGTCACACATGTTTTAGCAACCACCATTCTTAAACAGATAATATATAGTTATGTTTCCCTTAACTAGCAGCTTACTAGTTTATATAATTTTATACCATATCAATTACAGCCCATTACATGCCTATCAAAAAACCAGAATAAACACATTTTTTACTGTACAAATGACAACTTACATGGTATTAACTTCATACATGTGGATAAGTATTTTGATGCAAAGCATGCTCACACAGTTTAAATTATACTGATTCTAAAGATGTAATTTTGTGTTCAACTTATTTTTGATAAACAAAAATGTATACAAAAACCTTCCGCACTAGGGAGTCCAGTAATTCACGTAGGGCTTAAGTGGATTTAATAAAGAAAGAGACAATGTCGATCACAGGCATGAATCTTAAGTGAGTCACATCTAATAATTTGTATTGTCATGTTGTTGTCATAAACCTTTCTACGTCTCTGTGGCAAAAAATGACACTTTGAAAAAATTAAATATCCGTTGAAAACTGAAGATGACTCCCACCTTATTTAATTTATATATAGGTAGTGCATAGTACTTCGTATTTTGCTGCAAACCTTTTTTCTTCTACTGCAGACCGATTGAATAGTTACCTAATGTTCTCTTAAAATGCCAGGAAAAATGTATACACGAAAACACCATGCTTGTATTGAATTAAAAGCGAATTTTATCATGTTTTCCAGTCTACGAAATATGTGTTAGCAAAACATGCTATTACAAGAAAAAACACACAAGAAACTGAGGTTTGAAAAATATCTCTTGGACGAAAATACACTCAAACCCAACATTTTATAACCCAAAATTTATGTAAAGAATGAGCATCTAACGTTTCACAATGATTGAACACCCTTATTGAATAATAAAAAAAACCGCTAAAACTGATCCGTTCTCGGAAATGTACCGGTTTAGGTCACCGTAAGAATGCCACGTCGGTGTGACTTGAGTATAGTTTTAGATTCACGTCTTATTGCTTGCTTTTATTTTGAATTTTTCAAAATTTCTGGTATTCAAACTAAAAACAACTTTGTTTCAGGTTCTCTACTTCCGTGGTGGTTTATAACGTAACTTACTTTTAATGACCCTTTGTGTGCTGTCCTTCTTGATTTGTCGTCGGAAACTTTTTCAACAGTAAAACTATTTCTTTGATCCGTGTCATACGCATTGTCTTGTGAAAGTCCAGTTTGACCATCTGTTGAATTACGTTTTAATCTCCTGTAAACAGTTTTGTGAACACACATGTACTTAGATACTTGTTCTTAGGGTGGTATTTCTTATTATTCAAATACTTCGTAAGGTTTTTATTTTTAAGATTTGTACAAAAAAATCATATTTATAAACAACTACTTATGAAAGACTATTTATAGAAAAAGAACATATTAATTAGCCAAAACATTTATTAGTAATGTCAAATACGTTTTGATACATAATTATCATAAAATTACCGATATATTTTGTCAATCGCTAAACAGGAAAGCATTACTACATATAGTCCACCTGCTGTTCCAAATATCAACACTGCAATAAGTTGTTTAGTACTCATACCGCTACCATCTGTTAAAACATTAATCAAACAAGCTATAACTAGTTTGCCCGTTTAGCTCTATTTTGCCCGTTTAGCTCTATTTTGCCCGTTTAGCTCTATTTTTCCCCGTTTAGCTCTATTTTGCCCGTTTAGCTCTATTTTGCCCGTTTAGCTCAATAGGAATAACATCGGATTAGTAATAACAAACCCAAATGATATCCCTCTGAATAAAACACAATTATTTTCCTCCCGTGAAATACATAACTTTTAAAAATGGCGACCGCTTACATTATATTACGCATAGCCTGGTCAAATATAAATTCGCCGTAAGTAACGGAAGTAAGGTGGGGTGGTGTAACCTTTTCTTCTTTTAAAATTGTTTGCTTTTTGGGGTTTCTTTTTGGTTAAAACAAACGATCATTTATGTCTTTTTAATAAAATAATAATATCGTTATTTAACGTTTATTGTCGAACTTACTTTTCAGCTCAAGACTGCTTATATTTTATGAGAAATTCGACTAAAATGAGGCTACCAGTGGGGAAAACCGATTCAATTAAATATTGAGGAAATTTCATTTAAACTTGTTTTCAAGCATAAAATAAAAAGAAAACTTGTTTGTTTGTTGTGTTAGATGTATTTTTGTTTCATATCGTGAACTATAAAAACAGTATTCTCACTCTTGAAGCTCATTCGATGAAATAAAATCTCATTTTACGCACAAACAAGCACCTATCATCTATTTGGTATCGATTCTTGGTAACATGAATAAATATTTTTTATATTTCTAATTACAAAAGAAGTTATTTCATTATTTATTACCTGTTTCACATACAGCGTCTTTTATTAAAGTGCAGTTTTCTTTATAAACATCACACGTTGTACAGTTTCTACAACGAACGGTTTCGTTGTAGGCAGTACATTCTGGTTGATATGTTCCATCCTGGCATTTCTCACATATGGCACGAGTAGAATTTTGGACACAGTCACCAACTGCTTTGTAACCAGGTCCACAATGAAAGCACTAAAATGTTTTGACAGAAAGGAAATAGATTTTTGCTATAGAAAGTATGTACAAACTTAAAAGATATATAAATAACATTACCCGTACGACATCATTACAAGATGAACAGTTTCTTAAATTCTGCATTAACCAAAATAGACCTTTCATTAAATTGTAAGTTTAATTTGTTTTATGTTTTGAACATTTTCTGTTTAATTAAAAAATTGTGAAGTTTTTAACGTTGAAGCCTGAGACCGGCAAATTAAAAGTAGAACTGGCGTTTTTTGGTTTTTTTTTTTAAAACATGTCCCATGAAACTAAGAGGCAGTCATACTCATCATCAATTAGGTCACCGTTCTCTCCGATCTTCGTTCACTAAACGAGTGTTAGAAATCATTTTAAAAATTCATCTTACCTGTAAACCGATCCTACTGGAGTATGTGCTGTTACAGATATCATCAGCAAAAACTTGATTCAACATAACAGCTTTTAGTATCGTAACATACAACACTGGGTATAAGAACATTGTCTGAAAAAAAGAAGAAAAATATGTTACAGGTGCTTAAATTGTTAGCAATAACATAAATAAACTCTTGAAACAATATATTGACTTGTTTTGATATTTCCCTCATATAATAATTCAGAGCTAAAAGCATCTTGGTATATGTAGCTGTAGGCCGTAGCATTATGGGTAGAATGCCGTCTCAGGTAACACGACAATATTGTTCTTTGGCTTATTTGAAACTGCACACTATGTGACGTATTTAAACATGTAAATAAAATTTACTATAAAAAAACACGCTGTTTGTGAAAGAGATTGTATAAAATAACACAATGTCTTCTTTTGTAATAAGAATTATTAACAAAGTTATTCATTTTACCATAAACCGAACATAAATAAATTTAATCCATATGAGTAGCAACCAAATGTCAAATGTATTATTTTGGCTGCAATGCAAGATTATATATTATTAGTACTAATAATTGTATTAAATGCAAACAAAGATCTCCACTTATTTTGTAAATTTGAAAAGAACGAACAAGGAAATTTTGCGTGCATTAAAAATAGGTTATTCCTTGATAATGTTTAACTACCCGGAAGAATTATAGAATTGATTGTAAACTTGTGAATCTTTTGTATTTAAAAGTACGTTATGACGAGACAAAATGTATGAAGCCAAAAATGTTAATTGTTATTAGGCTATTTTTAAAAGAAACAAAAGAAATGAATGTTTAGGTGTGGTGTTGATACTTAAACAATTAAGCGGGTAACAGTTCAACTAACATTTTCTTCTTTTTTTTTCTTGTTTTTTTTTAAGTATGATCGACACAGTTAGGGTGATGTGGCGACATTTTGTTTTCCTTGTAGAAGAAGACCTTAGGTGCCCACTCCATGAATTATTTCAGTCACGAGCGGGCGCAAGCAATCTGATTAGTTATTTCTCGTGAAACAAGCTATATACCTGTCAGGGACAATTGGTCTTTAATCTACTTAATTTTTCCTTTCACTTTTATACAATACATGTCTCGAATTTTGATATGTTGTTATATTTCATGCATACTGCCAAGGATTTTTTTTCAAAACTTTTTATTAGATATTTTATTTATTTGCATGTAAAAAAGATCTACTTGTCATTTACACATTTATTTAAAAAAAAATGTTTTGTTGCTTGTTGACTGAAAAGACAACAAATCAACTCATCAACATAATACATTTGACTGTCTTAAAAGCCAGCGTCTCTTAGTTTACAGCGACGATTGGAATGAAAGCTGTGACGATGCAACATTTAGGGGGCGTCTGTGACTTCCAGCCAATTGTATAAACAACTAAACCGTGCGGTTACCACACGATTACGTTAACCAGCCCGGTAACCTCGCGGTAAGCGATTTTATAAAAACATCAAAAGCAGAAACCACACTGTAACCACGGTTAAATTTAACCCAGCAGCCAATTGTATAAACGATGGTTATTATAGTGACATATGTTACACGTATATACATACACACAAATACCCAAAGATGAACACCCGGCCCATAGGAGCTATACAGTAAATCACCTAAACAAAAGATCATAACATGAGCATGTGTTATAGTCTGTAACATGTTATTCTAACACGACCCACATTTTTCACTATTGAATATAGAATAACCGAAAGTATGTGTTATTATGCAATAAAATCATTGTTGACGTTCTATATTTAGATATGTGACGTTATCATTTTACTTGTGACGTAACCACTATAAAACCCGATGCGCTAAAAATAAGTACAGAGACAGATCAGGGGCAATTTTGCTGAATATCAGGGACGGCAGCATTTATTTGTTGATGTCGTGTTAGAATCGAAATAATATATCCAAATCGGTGGTTTTTTTATCGCTTGATAAAATCACTATTTGTCGTTCGGATGCACATCATATATCACTCGGGCTACGCCCTCGTGATATAATTCCTCGCATCCGAACTCTAAACAGTGATTTTTTTGAGCGATAAAATCACAGTTTGGGATATATTATTTCTTAATTAACAATAGTCAATGTATGTCTTGTTAAATAGTGCTTTTTTATGTTTGATAATATGAATTAAATTGTTTGTTTAAAACAAGTTTAAATGAAATTTCCTCAATATTAACTTTAATATTAAAATCTGTTTTCATTAATTGAAGTCGAATTTCTCATAAATACAAGAAGTCTTGAGCTTTAAAAGAAGTTCAACAAACAACGTTAAATGGCAATGATATTATTTATTTTATTCAAAAAATATGAATGATCGTTTGGTTTATTAATGAAATAACAAACAATTCTAATGGAAGAAAATGTGACACCATCTGATCTTATTTCCGTTTCATATGGCGAATTTATATTAGACCAGATTTTGTGTAATATAAGTGGCCGCCATTTTAAAAGTTTTGAATTTCACGGGAGGAAAATAATTGTGTTTGATTCAGAGAAATATCATTTGGATATGTTAGTCATACATATAATAAGAAAGAAAACTTATTTGAGGATTGTTGCTGACAATAAATAAGTGTAAACAGACGTGTTAACATTCAATAAGCGACTAGGAGTTTGGAAAACATGGATGTCTTACGAACACTGTGTTGTTTACTTATTCTTCGAGTTGATGACTGTCATTGCTTTTCAAGTTTTCATAATGCATTATGCAGTTTTTGCTCGTAAGATACTGTAATATGCCCAAATGTTACCATGAGCAGTTTTGCGTGTGGTTTCAGACTGTTAAAATAAAACAACAAAGAATAAAATAAAGACGATATTTGGTGATTGGCAATTTGAATGAATTGAAATGAGTTTTTTTTTTCTTTTAATTACTTTTGAAAATTAAGTTATTTATCAATTTCAACTTTGATTTTTTTAAACAGTCCTGACAATGTCAGAATTGTCAGCAAAAATAAAATTGAGGTACCACAGTTAAATTAACATTATAATTGTCACGGATAAATCAGTTATATACTCTAAAGCATAAGATGAGCCCTCATAATTGATATCTATTTCCTAAGTATTTAAAGGTTTAATATTTTCGTACCAATTTTGTTTTATTTTATCGTGTAGAACTAACTTAAGTAAGTTTATTTGTCATAATTTAAGCAATAAATTATCGGTAATTGCCTTAGCATTAGCCTTACAAAGTCCTGTATCATACAAATGTAACAGCTACTACCCTTCATGCAGGTGCGACCTTAAACCCGAAGTGACATACATATATCCCTATGTAAATAATTGATAGTTCATGAGAACTATATTCCGTAATATGATATGCATTTACGTTCATATCATGTACTATGAAATTAATAAAAAAATTGCTGATTGTCATCTATTTGTAGTTTCCCATTATATATTTGAACATCAGCTAAATACGAAATCACTTTTTGTCTGCAAGAACGATGATGAACTCGACGACGATAGTAGCCCTTGTTCAGTGTTTAACTAACGAACTGAATTAATTTAACGAAAATATAAACACTACATACATTTTATATCCAAAGTCAAAATTTCACTTTACCCTAACATGAATATATCTTTTTGAAAATATAAGTAACCGCTTCCTTTGATTTATCCAATAAACCACTTTTTTCGTACTCCAGCTTTTCATCTCATTAGGCCTTAAATTGTAAAAACTAACAGAACATTGGTAACATTAATATGGATAGATAAAATTTGATTTAATGATTACCTTAAATTTCATTGACTGTATAACAGTCATTATGAAATAAAGATGGGCTTGGTGTGACCAATGCAGTTATACCAATTAAATGTTTTTGTTTAGCTTTACAAATACACTTGTATCATAGTTTGGGGACCTTTCTGTTGAAAAAGTGTCAGAGTTAAATCGTATACATATATATGCACAGTGCGGTAACTGGAGTGCAGGTATCAGTTACCCGCACTCCAGATCATGCCCGTTGATTGGCTCATTTTTGCTGGGGTTTACATATTGTGACGGCAGAGAAAGAGAAAGTGGCAGAAATAATATATTCAGATGCTCGATCATTGGTTACCTTTTCCCGGGGTTTAAAATTGTGACAACAGGGAACGTGTTTTTATGTTTGACTATGATACAAAAGAGAAAGAACACCAAAACACTTGGCAATCTGATTTATACTCGGGGGCTACGCCCCCTCGTACAAATCAGATAGCCTCGTGTTTCGGTGCTCTTTCTATTACATAAAGGATCTCCATTGAGGTCCAAAAGCTTCAAAACAAAAACAAAATGAATTTCTTAAATATTTCAGCCGGGGGCACTTAAACAGAAGATCAGTAAGAACTATAATAAGAAATGAATTGAAAATCGTTACTTGTGCTACTTTTAGCCCGATTTTAAAGAATAGGCATTGTAAAGCTGATCAATTTTGGCTCATGTTTTCACGATTAGAATAGTTTTTTCTAGACAAAATAATGTAGTGAGCGAATGATCTGAAATATTGCACATACATGTAAGTCTAGACCGACAAGTGGATTATTAATGTCGGAATAATTATTCCCAGTCCAGTCATATAAAAACAGTTCAATGGACTCCCTTCCAATGCCTGTTTCAAAATCACAACCCTTTAGACGAATAGAAAAGTTTACTTACTCTAGATTCCGACTAAAATAGTGTAAAGATACATTTACATGTTCTTAATAATATCACTTTATGATAATTTTACTCGGTCTGTACATTTACGGTAATGAATTGTACAATCCTCGAAAAACTATACAGTAAGGGTTAAAACAAAGTGCATTTTCGATTTATAATATTCCATTTCTTGTAATTGAATATCCGCTGGTGATTAAACCCTCATTGGAACGGTACCGAAGATCATTGAAAAAATTACTTTATTGATATTTCAAACGCTTCGCTGTAAAGTATTGTTAAGTTACGCCTTTAAGATATTATAATATAATTCGCTTTGTGATAACATTGTATAGATACAGTATTTCATATTTGTAAAAGGTAATATCTGTAGACAGTTTGCATGTATGACAGTCTATATAAATAGACTATTAGTTTATGAATGGTGTCATTGCGTGTTA